TCTGTTACTTACCTGTTACCGTAGATGTAAAGAAAGGAATGATTGAGAATGAATAATTTACAAAATTAATGTAACTGATATGTTTCAGTTGAATCTTCATCAGAATTACATGTACTCCTGATAAAGACAACCAAAAGGCATCAGTTACATGTATTACATTTTCATTTTTCAACATATGTCACAGTTAACTCTGGTCATTGTCAGTTACTTACTGAAGGTTGCAGAAAGTAATTGAATTATATCTCAAGAAAATATATACAGTGAACTCTTTATGAATGGATTATCCCTTGACTGAAATTCTTTGTTGACCACAGAAGTACCGCCTCAAAATAGATTAAAAGAAATATTATCTTGAAAGTACAAAAAAGTATATTGTGTTGGATTTCATTTTAAAGATTTCGTATATATCTTTATAAATTTTCTGATGTTTTCAAGTAATCTCAGGGTAAATGGGTAAAAGGTTTGCTTTGTTTATTATGCTGTCCTTGATCATTACTGCTCGAAACTACATCCCATGAACAAATGGCAGGTGTCATGGATTAGTTTTTTCAATGACAGCAGAACTCATTTAACTAGTCCATTAACTAGTATTCCAAATCAAAGAGAGTTTGATGTACGTGATTACAAAGAGAAATAGTTAAGAAAGTGCATGTTGAATCAGTTTTAAAGATTACTCTTTTATACTCATGCCAGTAGATTTTTTATTTTTTATCTTATAAAGTGTATTTACAGACTAAAAAAAAGAAAAGAAAAAAAGTTTGAAGGTATTTTCAGGAAACTGATTTGAAATTTTAGCAAATATACCATGACAATAATAGATCTTAATACTGTTGATTAACTTTTGAGGAGAAAGCTTCTGGAGTGATTAATGAAATTGTTATCTTGGCAGTTGCTGGTGGGATCATGGCTGTGTTCTTAGTGGTAGCATTGGCAGTGTACTGCTATAGGCAACATGTGGGGGGAACGGGGAGGTCCCTTTACACTCCAGCTAACTTCCAGTCTCGTCCCCATCCCATATATCAGCCAGAACACAATCATGAAATTGATAATGTAGAGGAAGATTTAGTGGGTAAGTAAAATTGAGGTCCAAGTTACACTGTAGGTTTGAACACATGATTTACAAGATTTTTCTATTTTCAGGTCAATTAAGTTACAGATTTTTAAACACATACACCATAGATAGATCAATTTCTTCCTCAAATAAACATGAGCAACATAGAATGCAGATTTTTGTGTATCAAGTAAGTCCCTAGATGAATTTTCAGTATATGCTTCAGAATTCTATTTTACAGGAGATGTAACTGGTGTTAGCCTAGGAGCAGCAGCTACAATAAGCCCTTACCGTATGAATCCAGGATATCGAAGACCTCCAGGCCAAGCAGACTCCAGTGATCATGGTTATTCAACAATGACTCCACATGATGACTCTGAAAATTTGAACTATATAGATTTAGGGGGTATTGCTGGATTACCTTCTCTTTCGGCAACACAAATGTTGGATGATCCACCCTCATCATCTGGATGGTCACCTCCATCATCTCCAACACCACAGGACAGGGGTGGAAGTGTGAGTGTGGAGGAGGAACCATCTGACTACTCACATACGCTGTTACCATCTCGTAAACATATGGGACCTAACATTATTGTTGTACCGGTTATAGTGCACATGGTTGACACAGTATGAATTTAATTTCTAAGTATGATTCAATTTTTATATATTTATTATGTCTGGGGAAAATCAGAAGGGCAACTGAGAGTGGTGGGTTATTGTCGAAAATCAGATGCTTGTTATTACTAAGAGCATGTCATTGGTAATAAGTGTACAGTATAGAATTGTTCTTTCAGTAGGTTCATAATTTGGAATGTGATATCAACACACATGTATCACATTGCAGTACTCTAAGTAGCTACAGCAAGGTTATTTTAGTCCATGGCAGCTGGAAAAGGAATACTAGCCATCTTCAGGAATATGTGGTTCCATTCTTGAGAGTCCACTTTAGTCCCATTAGTGCTTTATTAGAGCATGTGTGTATAAGGTGCACAAAGTGTATTTACCTCTTGTAAATTATAATGTTTTTAAGAGAGACTAGTTTTAAACATAACATTTGTGTAGATGTGGAAGTTTGATGTGGTTTAGGTTTTATATTTAGTAGGTTTTAATATAACAGTTTATCTAGTCTGTAGCTGCAGCAAATGATATGATTTTTACTTCCTAATTTAGAATCCAAATTGATTATGGTAGCTAACTGCTGCCAGCCAGTGGGATATCCTCTGACAAAACCAAAGATTATTCTTGATAGTGGCATTAATGAATGTGCCATCATGACTTGGATCATTCCATTTGGATTGACTTCATGGTCATTGCTCAGTTACAAATAACTAATCAAAATAATGACCTTTGCTTTTTTGGATGTTTTTTTATACAATCAAGACAAAACTTAAATGAATTGTTTAACAGTTGTGAATATGACAGTCAGTAAATGTTTTATATCACAAACCGAATGCATGTTCTTGTGTTTGTTTTTTAAGTGATTATGATTTTATATAAATGTATACATATACACAGTAGTCTGTCCAGCAAAGACAGTTAGGTTCATCTGTTGCAGGAAAAGCCATAGTTTGGGCTGGATGAATTCTGTTTAGATTCTTCTTGTATGATTTCAGTACATTTTTACTGTGAGACTCAGGATGTCTTGGACTGTGTATTTTGCTCAAATTTAGTGTCACCTACTGGGTCACATTCCGGGTTTGATGTGCCATGTTAACACAGAATTCGAGTCACTTATAATTTGGTCACAATATATATTTTTTCTGCCAATGAACATAATGTATATGGATTTTTATTTATTTACGTTTACATTTTTCAATGTGTATTACAGTTAGCATTTAGATTCATATATTTTATATATATATTTTGTGTTCATGTGTGAATGTTTCCGATACATTTATATTCTTTTGTGTTTGTAAGATATAATATATTTTCCATACACCCCCATTTTGGTGCACTTCTTTCCTTTTAAATCAGTAGTTCTGTGTAAACTGATTGAGTAAGCATTCCATCAGTTTGAATATGTTGAGTCATAACTTGAAAATCAGTTTCTCTAATTACTTATTATATTTTTTCAATCATTATATTAATTTCTTAATTAAAAAAAGCCATCTCTTCTGAAGTTCCCTAAGTAAGGCAAAATGATTTGGTCAATTCTATATCTACCCCAACCAAACAATAATAAGTATAAATGAGTATGCGAGTACTGCCTTCTTGACCTGAAGGTTTTTCTGAAAGAATCATGCTTGATTCATATAGTGGAGTATAATACTCGGTCAGCATCACATGGATACTGGAATTAATTGCTTGTTTGGGAAGGTACTTAGGGACTTTTCAAAGCCATTGTATAAGAATTAATGGAAACTAGATTGAAAATATATAACCATTCGTTCTTAAAGTGTTGAGCACTATTGGAAGATTTTCTTGACTGCCATTGCTACTGAGAAGTCTGTGTCATTCTCTTTTACATGGGTTTCTGTAGATTTTTCATACCAGGTTGTACAGTAAAGCTCGTAAGTTTTTGTTGTATAAACAGGTCCACTGGGAAATGATTATTGAAGATTTCTAAGTGATATGCTGGATCTTAAATTAGAGTAGCTATATAATGCATCATTCACCATTTTTAAAGATGAATTGATACACTTAATTTTGAGGGAACAGTTAATGATACATGCTGAGAATGCTTTTGCCTGTGAAACTATTTAGACTTTCTCCCTCCTACACTTTGTACATTGTGTGAAGTCTCCTGCTTGGGAATATGTTCATATTCTTGCATTTTTGTGTGCTTCCTGTGTGATGTCATTCTTGTACACTAATCTACAGTTTATCTGTATCCACATGCATCAGTGAGTGTGATGAAATGCTGGTACGTATGTCAAGAAAGTTAGATATAGTTATTGCATATCTTATTTTGTCTTAGAATATAGTGCTATTTATAGTTTTTAAGCTTTGATACAAAGTATTTGGTTCCTTTACTGTATTTCACATTTTTACAAATTAAATATGAAAAAGAAATAATTAATATGTATCTTAACTTCGCATTTATAGAAATTAATTACCAATATAAGATGTCGCTACATACTTGGGCACTAAGAAAAGTTTGCCTTTACTGGTGTACATTAAAGTATCTGCAAGGTGTTAATTTTGAAATGGATGAAGTTGCTGTTTTATAGATATTATCAGTAAAAATCTGATATCTACTGCTGATACGTAAAAAGTGGGAAAAAAACTTCTTTTATTAAGAGACGTTTATGGAGGAATTTTGGAATGGTGACAGACTACTGTTTGGTTGTAGAATTATTATTTTTTTGCTGAACAAGGGAATAAGTAAACATTGACCCGCTCTTTCATAAAAAGATTCAAGGGAGTTTAGATGTTTGATAAAGCTCTGAGACTCCCTTATTTGTAACTTCTGCAGAACTTTACACCCTGAGTGAGCTTTTGATTACGTGTAGTAATGTGACAATAATATACAATAATGTATTGTATTGTATTCCTGAATATAGTTAAGTCTGTGAATGACTTATTGTTCATTAATAGAAAAGCATATAGGTATGCAGCCGTTTCTCTCACTCTCTCTCTCTCTTTTATTTGCGTTGCATCAGTTTAATTTACATGATTGATTTAAGAGATTGTGAACATTGGAGAGATTTGATATTGAGGTGGAAATCTGAGATCATTTTTGAAAGTTCAAATATACAGTGGTAAATTTGTAGCAGTTTTTCAGGACACAGATCAGTAACTTATTTTAGACCTGCTTTTCTTGTGGCTTTGATTTTTATTTTAAACATGTAAATGGCAGCTGATAGGGTTATTGTTATTAATTTCATCATTAAAAAAAAGGATGCTTATCTTCTCTCTTCATGCTATTTATATAAGTTTTGCTAGTGAAACTAGTGTGTCTTCCAGTCAAGCAGTTTTAGTATAAATATTGACAGTCTGCACATTGAAC